GGAGAGATTATGCTTCAGTTATAAAGGTCACTAGTGAGATTGCATCTGAACTGTACTGTCACCTTGTTTCAGGAAAGATCTAAATGCATTGGAGGCAGTTCATAGGAGGTTTATCAAATTAATGCCTAGAATGAGAGGCTTGTCTTGTGAGGAAATGTTGATCAGGCTACGCTTGTATCTGCTGGAATTTAAAACAGTTAGAGATAATTTGATTGAAATGTACAAGATCCTGAGGGGTCTTGACAGGGTAGATGTGGAGAGGATGTTCCCTCTGACAGGGAATCTAGAAGCCATGGTCACTGTTTAAAAATCAGGGTCACCCATAAAACATGGATGGACTGGAAATCTTTGAGGTTTGAGTGCTGAGACTCTGCTTCCATCACTTTTCCAGAAAGTGAGTCATTGAATATTTTTAAGGCAGAGGTAGATTGATTCTTGTTAAGCAAAGGGTGAAAGGTTATTAAAGTAGGCAGGAATGCAGATTTGAGGTTCCAGTAAGATCAGTCATGGAGCAGTCTCTGGAGGCTGAATGGCCTACTCCTGCTCCTAAATGGTATGTTCACATGCCTGTTCTTAACTAGTAAACGACGTAGAACTATTAACAAACTAAAAAGAAAAGCCAAATGAAATTCTGTTGGAATAGTTGGTGGCTTGATTGCCAAATACAGTAGCCGAGTATCATAGTGGTGAACCAGGTGTACAATGCACCCTCACCTTTAGTACAACTGCTGAAACAGCTGAGGGAATGCAGGTTTCACTCACAGTGGAGACACTGGACAACTACAAGGAGTTAGAATATTGCATTTAACCTCATGGGTTTGGATTAATTCCAGCTCAGATTAATGGGATCCAACTACTTCTTCTTCTCCTCTACTAAAAGGAAAGGCAAGGACCTAAAGTGAAGTCTATTATTGTGTTTTAACCCACAATACAAAATGGTCCTTAATTAAAAGGAAACAATGTCTACATAAAAAGGCCATAAGGCTAGCCTAATGTTAAGTGCTGGAGTCAATGTGATAAATTGATGAAAGGATTATCAAAGTCATTCCAATGTGGCACAGGATGCAAAAGGAGCTAACAGCTATCTCTCACGTTCAACAAAAATTCAGTGTTTCCCTTAAACCACTTGTTAAAGAAAAATAAACTAAAGATCACAAGTATAGCAAAGTCAATCCCATTCCCAAATTCGCAATATAAAATTTATAAATACTATTAAAAAGAAAAACCCGATTTTGTTACTTCACCTTATATTTGGTAACCCTGGGTGAAAATACTAAAGTGATGTATATGTGCATATCTGTTCTTCTTTTCTCACTTTCTAACAAAAAAAAAATTTACATTTTAACTTTTCTCTTTGGAGTTCAGCACATGAAATGCCCTAGGAGTGACATGTTTAATTACAGTCTCCGAATACTATCATATGTTATGGTGTTACAGCCTTAGTGTTAGTTTTATGACATTTATTACAAATTTATCAATATTAAATATTATTTATCCACAGCTCCTCTTCTGTTACTTGCATTGCTAGTACTCCCTTCTGGGAGAAGATACACTGAAAACAAAAATCATTTGTTATAAAAGATTTGCATAAAGGATTTGTAATTATCAGCTGACAAAGTATCATTTGTAGTCATTATATGGCAGACACTGGATCGATTTGTAGTAAGTTATATATAAAAATGTGATTGCATAGTCCACCACAAAAACAAACATGTTATACTGCCCTACTCATACGTTAAACAGACGTCATGTAATTTCCTTAAAACCACCTCTATTCAGTTTCTCAGTCAGATAAACAGGATGTTGGTTGTTTCGTCTATCCCCATCAGTAAATGGAGGAAGTGATCAGTGGGATTTTGTGTTTTACTTTGCAGTACGTAAGCTTTGATAGTGTGATTAACATTTGCTGATGGAGCTTGTCCAGTGTTGGGGTGTGGGGGGAGGGGTGGAAACGGGACATCATTTGATATTCAACTGGCAGTCTCGAGTGCAATTTTAAAAACATTAAACTGTCCCCTTTTGGGCTGCTCATAAATATTGCATGTTTGTCACTTGAGGGAAAAAAAACGGCAAGAGACTCTATTTAGAGAAAATTAGATTTACAAAGCATCCTGTGCATGCAGGGATTACTGCCAGGTTGATATCAAATGTTCAAATAGATAATTGCAGATTATTATCGTATATACACTTCTATGTACACAAGTCTTGGGGAAAGCATTGGTACCTCTTGCTTTAAAGATATTGTAGATTTACATGCAATAGTTCAGAAATGAACAAAGTTGTTTATAATCAGACATGCACATTACAGTAATGCCCATACAGACACTAATTAAAACCATAAGCAGTCTAGCATTTGGGAGCTATTTGGTTATGCATTGAAACTCATAACTGCACTTTACTGCTGAAACCTTCCAGTACACCCAATCCTTTTTACAATATAATCCAAAATAACAGCCCTGTTATGAAATTGCTGTCCATTTATGGAGGAAATCTGGAAGCTGATTTTGTGCTATGTAATGCACAAGCTGCAATGGAAAGCATCCACCATAGAAACTACTGCCTCCAGTCATAAAACATTTTAACTTGGTCTGTACTCTCAAATGAATTTTTTAATGATCTGTTTTCAACCACCAATTGCAGTTCAGCTGAAGGAAGCAGGCTTTAGATTATAATTGTTTGAAGTGGTACAGGATCAACTTCTGGTCGTCATTTGGACCCAAAGCTGACTGTACAGTTCAATAAATTTTTATGGCATTGAGACTAAATTCTCTGCAGGTGACATTGATAAAGAAAATGGAGAGAAAACAACAACTTCAATCTTTTTCAGTTAGTGAGCTGCTAATATATTAAATAATCAATACACTTTCCTGGCAATGTAAACTGTATTAGAATGGCTTGCAGTGGAATAGCATAGTGATGGAATTGCAATCTCCACACAATGTGTTCCCAATCTTCAAGTCTCCTGCCAGGTGAAGGCATGAAATGGAATGCAGGCCAGATGATCTTTCACAGGGACAAGTGGGGGAAAAGAAACCAAATCAGCAAATCACCCGAGGCTGCTGCTGCTGTGAACCTTGAAGTGATCTGACAGAATCGTAGCATTGGCAGAGGCTTGAGGGCAGCTTTTCTGCCCACATGCTTGGCTCTAGAATAATGTATGCCTTAAGTGGAATGTGTAGGAGAGAAAAATAACACATTTGGGTGCCAGACCCGAGCAAGTCTTCAAGGATTTTGCCTATTTGTTACTAGATTGCTGGGCTTGTTGATTTAATAGCACAGTACTTGTGTTGTTGCATACTAATAAACATTTCTATGACTCCAATTTTCAATAATGATAGCAATTTTGCATTTAGCAGGTTGGTAGCATCTATCAGTGGGTAGGATGTAAGAACCTTGCAAATATTGGTACATTGCAAGGTGTTATTTCCCTGACATAGAAAAGTTTGAAAAATCAATAATACACATTTCGATATGAAACTGTGTAGTGCCACTACTCATGGTATAATGGCTACTTGCCAGCTTGAGCCTTTCCACTGTCAATGCTTCTGTTTCTTAGGCAAGCACATCTCTTACTGAAACAAGAGAAGTAATTGATTTTAAGTCTCATTAAAGAATATTATACATTTTTCAGACATATTCATAAAGATATGTGCAAATGTACTGCAAGATGGCCTTAAAAGTGAATACAGACTTGACTTTAAAAAGCAAGTATGTAGTCCTGTAATTCTTTGTTGTTTTCCACGTAATCTGGACAATACCACAAGATGTCTTTTCCCAAATAGGTAACAGACACAAATGTGAACATGAAAAATATGCATGCAATTAGTTCTGCAATGATATGTCCTACTAATTGTGCAAATATGCACTGGGTATCACGTTATAAGCCAAGAGCAAGAGTTTCCAGAATGGATACGTAATCATATACATAAATATTCAAATCAGTTTTGATTGAAAGCTATTAAATCAGCCAAGTAATATTGAAAAAAACTGTGCAAGTTAATCTCATTCAGAAACAACAGACTCCAGAGAATGTGCTCGATAAGCTCGAGCCCATTTACAGACAATGGTAAAATCTGCACAAGCTCAATGTTTGAGATACTCCGAAAATTATTACAAGACTAATTGGTGTGACTGAATCTTTTAAGTATGACCAACAGCATTTTTTTTGAAAATATGGTCATACTTGAAATGTTAGCAAAAGGAAAGATGTCACTTGAATTTTGAAATGTTTGTTGGGATGTGGTTTATCTAAGATGTGAAGTATGAACTCAGTCATTCTGACAAACAGCTCAGGCAATGTATCTAATTATTTAGCAATGTGTTGGCTCTAAAACAGCTGAAGGACTATTTTGTGAAACAGTATTCTTAAATCAACAAAAAAAAGGTCTGATTACTGAAAAATATACAAATTGAAGTAAATAGATAAAAATGATCCAAATATGCAAAGCTCTGGTTACAACCCATTTCTAACAGTACTTTGTCTTGTAACAACAATTTCATCGCAAGTCAATTATTATCAGTCTTCTGCCCGATAAACAAAGTGGTCAGGAGGAATGGTCAGATACGTACTGAGGATTTAAACACACATTCGTGCTTCACTTGTAAGTTCAGACTGACTAATCAGCAAAACAATAGGCAACAAGTACGGAGAAGGTTAAAGCCACAAAATTTCATTTTTTTACAAGCCTGTCAGTTTCTAAGTAATATCTGAAATTAACCAGCAATGTCGTGAGCTGCTTCAAAAGAAAAATCAAATAACAACATCTGGAGAGATCAGCACTGGGCTGAGTTCGAATATATGACATGACAGGAGAGGTTGATTTCGGTGATACTGTACCTTAAACTTTCCTTTCTGACTTCTGGCTGCATTTACTTCGGGCAGCTTTTAACAGGAAATTACCATGTCGTACCGTGTGTTCAACGCACTCGCATTTTTAAATTTGGGTTTTTTTGCGGGGGGGGGGAAAAACTCTTGACTGCAGAAAGATGCCTTTACTTACCTACATCTGCATTACAGAAAGCTTGCTGGGGATGGTTCGGGGCACAGCTGCACGCTTCGGCGATCTGTTCCACCCTTAAAACCAGGAGCAGAAACAATGTTGCCACCAGACTGCTGAATAAAGCACTCATTTTAAAACCTCACGGAAATAAAGCTCTTCTTCCAGGAAGGGATCGCCAGGAATAAGGGTCTTACAGAAGCTTGTCCTGTCTCAGGCAAACACGCGGCAAGTTTAGTTGAGCGTGATCTCGGAAGAGGAAAATAAATTCGCAAAATGATATCTAGTGAAGTGGTGCCGTGGTTGCGCCTCTGCTGGGTGTGTTTTATTCTGTCCTCTCTGAGCTGAACCCTATTTAGTGGCTGGAAGGTTTTCTGCTGTCCCCGCCTCTCTAAGTCAGCGGACCAGTTACAGCGAGAGCTAGTGTTGATGGCCCACTATCAAAGACGCCTAGTTGTTTTTTTCTCATTGCTCTGGGCAATTCTACACATTTTTTTTCTCCCTCTCGGTTTAATGAGCTACGAATCTCTGTTGAGTGCGTCGCTGTGGCTCAGTTCATTAGAGAGAGGGAGAAAGTATTCCATGGACTGGTAATAAACATCAGTAAATGCGAGAGATCTGACCTGACCAGTCCTCAGTGTAAACTGCTATTAATCAGACACACATTTTAGCTGAAAGGAATCCTGTAAATAGTAGCTTCTAGAAGCTTCCTTTTACGAACTTGATTGAACCACTATTTTTTGGTAAAAAAAATGTGAAAATCCATGCCTTTAATTTGGAGTTCCCAATTTTGCAAATCGTTTTCCACTTGCTGCATAGTGGTTATTGTTCATGAGAATATGGATAATTCGGCGATCAAATTATTTGCTCATGTAAAAATACACAAACAAAGCCGCCCGCCTTCACAATACTGAATTGACCGGACAAATGCATTAATGACTTCGCTGTCTGTGTGCAGTGCAGTATTTCACTTCAAGTGCTCTGTTGATTAAAAAGCACCATGTGATGCTGTTCCCAGGAGACAAATTGACTGACAATATTGAGATGTCTAGGACGAAAAAAAACCAATCAGATCAAGTCCATGATTTCCCTTGGGAAACACGCATTTACAAATTATACGGACATATTGGTATGATTGTAACTCTCCAAACTAACACACAAACCACTGGGTAGAAAAGATAATCCCCATGGTCGGGGATGACAAAAGACCTCCCAGTGCCAAAAACTACTCATGAGAAATAACCCTGACAAAATAGAATCTGGAATTTTCTGTTAGCAACAGCCAGAATGAGATTTCTTACCCAATATGTAGGAGCAGAAGAACCTGGGTATATATTTCTTAGGATACATAATTTTGGACTTTATGAGTAGGGGTATCAAGTACAAAAGCAAGGAAGTTAATGTTAAACTTGTGTAAAACACTTGTTCAGTTCAAGCAGGAGAATTGCTCAGTTTCGGCAGAGGCTTCAGGGAGGATGTCAAGTCATTAGAGAGGGTGCAAAAAACGATTAACGAGAATGGTTTCAGGGATGAGGTTACATAGATAGAGACGCTGTGGCCTTGAAGGAGAAGAGGAGAGAAGATTGAAATTCAAAATCACAAGGACTCAGGACAGAGTGGTTAGGGAAAAACCATTGCCAGGTGCTGGAAGGTTTGAGAACCAGAGGATACAGTTTTAAGGTGATAGGCAGAAGCCTCAATGAAACTTGAGGAAAAATGTTATCATGCAGAGAGTGATTATGGTCTGGAACGTGTCGCCTGAGTGTGTAATGGAGGCAAGTTCAATGGAGGCATTCGTCTGAGATGATAAATGGAATGGCAAAGGCCTCATGGGAACAGGTGCCAAAAACAGCAGAGCATGACTGGGATGGTTGGAACATCCTTTCTTCCCTACATCCTGGGAATGACATTTTTAAAATTCATTTGTGGGACATGAGCATCATTGGTTGACCAGCATTTTATTGCCCATCCCTAGTCACCTTTGAGAAGGTAGTGGTGAACTGCATTTTTTGAACCGCTGCAGTCTAGCTGCTGTAGGTTGACCCACAATGCCCTCAGGGAGGAAATTCCAGGATTTTGACCCAGTTACAGTGAAGGAATGGCGATAAAGTTCCAAGTCTGGATGGTGAATGGCTTTGAGGAGAATTCAGAGATGGTGATGTTTCCATTTAACTGCTGCCCTAGATGGAAGTTGTCTTGAGTTTGGAAGTTGCTGTCTGAGGATTTTTGGTGAATTTCTGCAGGTTGTCTTGCAGATAGAACACACTGCTGCTACTGAGCGTCGGTGGTGAAGGGAGTGAATGCTTGTAGATTTGGTGCCAATCAAGTGGGCTGTTTTGTCATGGATGGTGTCAAGCTTCTTGAGTGTTTTTGGAGCTGCATTCATCCAAGCAAATGGGGAAATAATCCATCACACTCTTGACTTGTGTCTTGTAGATGGTGGACAGGCTTTGGGGAGTCAGGAGGTGAGTTACTCACCACAGTATTCCTAGCCTCTGACCTGCAATTGTAGCCATTGAGTTTATGTGGCAAGTCCAGTTGAGTTTCTGGTCAATGGTAAACCCAGGGTGTTGATAATGAACGATTCAGTGATGGTAACACCATTGAATGTCATGGTTAAATTGCCTTTTATTAGAAATAGTCATTGTCTGGCATTTGTGTGAAGCAAATATTACTTGCCCCTTGTAAGCCCAAAACTGGATATTGTCCAGATCTTATTGCACTTGAACATGGACTGAGGAGTCATGAATGGTGCTGAGCATTGTGCAATCATCGGTGAACATCCCTACTTCTGACCTTATGATGGAGGGAAGGTCATTGATGAAGCAGCTAAAGATGGTTGGGCCACGAATACTGCCCTGAGGAACTCCTGCAGAGATGTCCTAAAGCTGAGATGACTGACCTCCAACAACCACGACCATCTTCCTATGTGCCAGTGGAGAGTTTACCTTCTGATACCTATTAGTTCCAGTTTTGCTAGGGCTCATTGACGCCACACTTGGTCAAATGCGGCCTTGATATCAAGGGCTTTCACACTAACTTCACCTCTGGAATTCAGCTCTTTTGTCCATGTTTGAACCAAAGCTATAATGAGTTAAGGAGCTGAGTGGTCCTGGCAGTACCTAAACTGGGCATCACTGAGAAGATTATTGCTGAGCAGGTACTGGTTGAAAACACTTGTGTTCCATCACTTTACTGATAGTTGAGAGCGACTAATGGGGCAATAATTGGTCAGGTTGGATTTCAGCTGCTTTTTGTGTACAGGATATACCTGGGCAATTTTCCACATTGTCGGGTAGATATCAGTGTTGTATGTGTATGAGAAGGGTTTGGCTAGGGAAGTGGCAAGTTCTGGAGCACAAGTTTTCAGTACCATTGCTGGAATGTTGTCAGGGCCCATAGCTTTTGCACTATCCAGTGCCTCCAACCGTTTCTTGATATCACCTGGAGTGAATCGAATTGGCTGAAGACTAGTATCTGTAATGCTGGGGACCACTGGAGGAGGCCACGATGGATTTCCCATGCAGCACTTTGGGCTGAAGACTGCTGCAAAAGCTTTTGCACGGATGTGTTGGGCTCTTCCTTGATTGAGATTGGGGATATTTGTGGAACCTCCTCCTATAGTGAGTTGGCCATTGACCAGAAACTAAATTTGATCAGACATATAAATGGTCTGACTAAAACAGCTGGTCAGAGGCTTGGAATTCCATAGCGATGAACTCATCCTCATCTTTCCCCAGTGCATGACCTGCAGTCACAAAGCATAAATCAAAATGTGATGGAATACTCACAACTTACCTGGATGAGTGCAGGATCAATAACATTCAAGAACTTAACATTATCCAGGACAAAATAGCTCACTTGATTGTAACCCCATTCACCACTTTCAACATTCACTTCCATTCACCACTTTCAACATTCACTTCCTTCACACTGACAGACACTGGCAAAGGTCATAGTTCACCATGGTAACTCAACAAGACTCCTCGGATAGCCCTCTCCAAACCCTTGACCTCCACTATATGGAAGGACAAGGGCAGTAGTTAAATCAGATCATCATAATGTGCCGGTTCCCCTCCTAGCCACTCACCATCCTGACTTGGAAATATATCACTGTTTCTTCAGTGTTGCTGGGTCAAAATCCTGAAACTCCCTTCCTAAAAGCACTTCAGTTTTACAACACCTGAAGAACTACAGCAGTTCAAAAAGGCAGCTCACCACCTTTTCAAGGACAAATGGGGATGGTTAATAAATGCTGGTGTAGCTAGTGATACCCACATCTCGTGAATGTATATTAAAAAAGGAGAGAAATATCAAATGTTGTAGTGCTTTGATCAGAGTGTATGTTGAATTCCAAAACTTAAGACCAGTGCTGCTCACTGAGAAAGTAAGAAAAATCATAAGGTTTTGCCTAAATCTCAGGCTTGAAGGAAAGTCTGGAGAAACTTGGGCCTGTCTGGTGTCGAAGGGAAATGGCTGACAAATGCAGTCAGTTTATACGGTGGATAGGGTGGGCCATTTAGCTCACCCCCCACCCCACCCCCACACCCCGCCCCGAGCCTGCTTCACCATTTAGTAAGATCATGGCTGATTGATGCCACTATCTTTCCACAGCCACCCTGTGAAGACCTCTCAGGATCCTATCTATTTCAATCAAATCATCCCTGACTTCTAAACTCCAGTGTATTCAACCCCAGTCTGTCTAACGTTTCCTCATAAGACAACATGCTCGTTCTAGGTATTATTATAGTAAACTTTCTCTGGTCTACTTCCAATGGATTTGTATCCTTCCTTAAATAAGGAGACCAATACTGTACGCAATAATTCAGATATGGTCTTACCAGTGCCTTGTGCAAGTAAAGGGTAACCTCTCTACATTTGAATTCAACTTCCCACATAATAAATAATAGCATTTTATTAACTTTACTAATCATTTGCTGTAACTGCATACCAACCTCTTATGATTCATGCACCGGGAAATCCAGATCTCATTGCATCTCAGATCTCCGCAATCTCTCATCATTTTGGTAATATGCCTTTTCTATTCTTCCTGTCAAAATTGTCAATTATACATTTTCCCACATCGTACCCAATTGCCAATATTTGCCTGCTCATTTAACCAAGCTATAACTCTTTGTACCCTCCTACATTGTTTTCACAACTTACTTTTCTACCTATTTTTATGTTATCAGTAAACTTTGCAACCATACTTTTGGTTCCTACATCTGAGTCATTTATGAATTGTAAAAGTTTGAGGCCCACATACTGATCACTTTGGCACCCCACTCATTACATCTTGCCATGAGATAATGAATCACTGTTTACTGTTAGAC